TTTTTTTTTTTTTTTTTTTTTTTTTGAGATGGATTTTTGCTCTGTCACCCAGGCTGGAGTGCAGGGGCGTGATCTTCGCTCACAGCAGCCTCCGCCTCCCGGGTTCAAGCGATTCTCCTGCCTCAGCCTCCCGAGTAGGTGGGACTACAGGTGCCCCCCACCACGCCTAGCTAATTTTTTTTTTTCTTCTGAGATGGAGTTTTGCTCTTGCTGCCCAGGCTGGAATGCAATGGCATGATCTTGGCTCACTGCAACCTCCGCCTCCCAGGTTCAAGCAATTCTCCTGCCTCAGCCTCCCGAGCAGCTGGGATTACAGGCATGCGCCAGCACGCCCAGCTAATTTTGTATTTTTAGTAGAGACGGGGTTTCACCATGTAGCCCAGGCTGGTCTTGACCTCTGACCTTAGGTGATTGGCCTAACTCGGCCTCCCAAAGTGCTGGGATTACAGGCGTGAGTCACTGCTCCCGGCCGAGATGAGGCCCCTTTGAGCCCCACAATCTGCACCCACCCCAGCTTCCTCCCCACACTCACGGCGGGATGTCTTCAGGCTGTCGGGCCTGGAAGTGGAGCGCAGCGGCCGAGCGGGTCCTCCGTAGATCTGTGGGGTAGAGAGTGCGGCAGGGAGGCCGGTACTGCCTGGGATCTCAGCCCCGCCTCCTGCCGGTGCCGCCCGCCCTCACCCACCTGTGGATGCTGCAGAGCGTCTCCGAAAGCTCTGCATATCCACGGGGCCCGGGGGCAGCGGAGGCTTGGCTGGAGGGGGTCCCAGGCTGCTGGCAGCGGGCAGAGGCCTCCGCCGGGGTGGATGGCTGGGTCTGAGGCCTGGCCTGGCCCCTCCGCTGTGAACAAGGCCTCCTGACCTCCAGCGGGGTGTCCCAGCAACTCCAAACCCAGGGCTGAGCGGGTGCCGGGAGCTGGAGCCGGCCACGGCCGCAGGCAGTGAGCTCTCGGAAGCGGAGCTGGGGAGTAGAGGCTTTCGAGGGAGATCACCGAAGAACTCAGGCTGCAGGTGTCTCTTGAGGACAGCGTTGGGTTCAGGCTGTGAGAACTTGCGGGGTGGCCCCCGGCGGTCCGGCTGCAGCAACTTCCTGGGGAGGGAGTTGAACTCGGGCTCTGAGGAGGTCCTGGGGAGGCCGCCCAGCTCGGGCTGCGGGGGCTTCTTGGAGAGCGCTTTGAATTCGGCGGGCCGCGGCCTCTTGGGAAGCACGCTGACTTCGGGCTCTGAGGAGGTCCTGGTGAGGTCCCCAAGCTCCGGCTGCGCGGGCTTCTTGGGAAAGTCACTCAGCGGAGGCTGGGAGGCCTTTCTGGGAAAGGCGCTGGAGTCGTGCTTCGGCTCACCGGACTGAGGCTTCCAGAGAGGTGTCTGAGCCGCCTCGCTGAACTCAGGCTGCGGCACGGACTTCTTAGGGAGGCCATCCGCCTGAGGCTGTGGGGGCTTTCTGGGGTGCACACTGAACTCGGGCTGCACCGGCTTCTTGGGAATGCTACTGAAGTTGGGCTTCGGGGAGTGGGGGAGGGACTCAGTGGCCTCAGGCTTCCAGGGCGGTGTCTGACGGACGTCACTGGACTCAGGCTGCGGCAGGGACGTCTTAGGGAGGCTACCGACCTGAGGCTGTGGGGGCTTTTTGGGGTGCATGTTGACGTCAGGCTGCGCGGGCTTCTTGGGAAAGGTACTGAACTCAGGCTGCGGGGGCTTTGGGGTAGCCTCACTGGCCTCGGGCTGCCAGAGCTTCCTGGGGAATGCACTGGATTTGGGTTCAGATGGGGGTCTGGCGGGGTGACTGAGCTCGTCGGACTGCTGGGGTTTCCGGACAGGCGTATTGGGCTCCGGCAGCGAGGCCTTCACAGGGGCCTCACCGACCTCAGGCTGCGGGGGCTTCCTTGGAAATGGAGTGGCCTCCAGCTGTGGGAACTTCTTGGAGATGTCACTGAACTCCAGTTTGGACGGCTTCTTGGGGAGGTCAGTGAACTCAGGCGGCGGAGGCTTCTTGGGGAGGTCAGTGAACTCAGGCGGCGGAGGCTTCTTGGGGAGGTCAGTGAACTCAGGCGGCGGAGGCTTCTTGGGGAGGTCAGTGAACTCAGGCGGCGGGGGTTTCTTGGGGAGGTCAGTGAACTCAGGCGGCGGGGGTTTCTTGGGGAGGTCAGTGAACTCAGGCGGCGGGGGTTTCTTGGGAAGATCAGTGACCTCAGGCGGCGGGGGTTTCTTGGGGAGGTCAGTGACCTCAGGCGGCGGGGGTTTCTTGAGGTGCTCGCTTAGCTCAGGCTGGGGGAACTTCTTGAGTTTACTGAACTCAGGCTTCGGGGGTTTTTTGGGCAGGTCGCTGGGCTCCGGCTGAGAGGCCTGGAATTTTGCTTTGATGCTCCGGAAGTCCTGATGGCTCTCCTAGGAGACATACAGCCAATGAGGCAGGGGCTCAAACACACAGAAGGGGCATGGAAGGAAGGGACTGGGGACCCTCAGGCACAGCCCACAACCACCACCCCTGCACCCAGGCCCCGTCAGCCCTCGGCTCTCTTTCTGAGGAGCCCCCATTGATCCTAGGATCCTGGAACCCACACCCCTCCCTACTTCTCCATTTAGTGCTGATTCCACACCCAACCTCCTCTAGCAGGAGTGGAACTCCTGACATCCCTCCTGCAGCCTCCAGTCCCACAGCCCTCCCCACATGGGTGGTACCCCAACCCCCCAGCATCCTTGACCCCCTCGTTCTTTCACCCCCACACTGCATGTCTCCAGTCTCATTCCATTGCCCAGGCTGGAGTGCAGTGGTGTAATCACAGCTCACTGCAGCCTCTAACTCTTGGGCTCCAATGATCCCCCAGCCTCCCGAGTAGCTGGGATTACAGGCTTGAGCCGCCACGCCCAGGCCTGGAGTCCCTTCTGTGCTAATTTCAAAACCCAGGCCTGGAGTCCCTTCTGTGCTAATTTCAAAACACATCCGGAATCCAACCACTTCTCACTGCCTTCACCGTTGTCACCCCAGGAGGTAGTGGGAGGCAGCGTCTGCCCTCCCCCAACCAACTGCCTGGATTATTCTAACAAGCCCTTCCCCAGTCACTGCCTACCCCTCTCCCTGGTCAGTTCCCCCCATGGCAGCGGGAGGGAGAAGCCTGTTGAGCCCTGAGTCTGTTTGTGTCTCTCTGCTCAAAACCTGGCAATGCTTCCTCATGTCCCTGTAGTTCAAGCTAAATGCCTCATAAAGGCCTGGGCGAACCAGCCTCCCCACCTAGCCACCTCCTCCTCCCTGCACCCTGAACACTTCCCTCTGACCTCGGGGCCTCTGCCCTGTCCCTGACCCAGGACATGTCCCTGCACTACCTGGTTCTCTCCTCTTCCTCCTCCCAGTCTCTGTTCTCATATTTCCTTATTAGAGAGGCCGTCTGAGGCCACCCTATTTTATTTGTTTATTTTTACTTTTTTGAGATGGAGTCTTGCTCTGTCACCCAGACTGGAGTGCAATCCGTGATCTTGGCTCACTGCAATCTCTGCTTCCCAGGTTCAAATGATTCTCATGCCTCAACCCTCTGAGTATCTGGGATTACAGGCACCCGCCACCACGCCTGGCTAATTTTTGTATTTTTACTAGAGACAGGGTTTCACCATGTTGGCCAGGCTTGTCTCAAACTCCTGACCTCAGGTGCCCGCCCGCCTCGGCCTCCCAAAGTACTGGGATTACAGGTGTGAGCCACCGTGCCCGGCCTAGATCACCCTATTTTTCTTTCTTTTTTCTTTTCTTTTTTTTTTTTTTTGAGACTGAGTCTCACTCTGTCCCCAGGTTGGAGTGCAGTGGCGAAATCTCAACTCACTGCAACCTCCGCCTCCTGGGTTCAAGCGATTCTACTGCCTCAGTGTCCTGAGTAGCTGGGATCACAGGTGTCTGCCACGACGCCCGGCTAATTTATTTTTATTTTTATTTTTTTTTTTATTTTTATTATTTTTTTTTTGAGACGGAGTCTGGCTCTGTCGCCCAGGCTGTAGTGCAGTGGCCGGATCTCAGCTCACTGCAAGCTCCGCCTCCTGGGTTCACGCCATTCTCCTGCCTCAGCCTCCCGAGTAGCTGGGACTACAGGCGCCCGCCATCTCGCCCGGCTAGTTTTTTGTATTTTTTTAGTAGAGACGGGGTTTCACCGGGTTAGCCAGGATGGTCTTGATCTCCTGACCTCGTGATCCGCCCGCCTCGGCCTCCCAAAGTGCTGGGATTACAGGCTTGAGCCACTGCGCCCGGCCATTTTTTTTTATTTTTAATGGAGACAGGGTTTTACCATGTTGCCCAGGCTGGTCTCAAACTCCTGACCTCAAGTGATCCGCCCACCTCAGCCTCCCAAAGTGCTGGGATTGCAAGGCATGAGCCATCACACCTGGCCTAGACCACCCTATTTTAAATGGATCACCCCATCCCACCACTGCCCTGTGCAGTCAGCATACATGATTTTCCCCATCGTACCCACCCCATGTATCATACTATTTTACATTGCTTTTAATGTGTCTTGAAAATTTTTTTTTTTTTTTTTGTCTCTCTATACCGCAACTTCCCCCAGTTCCTCAGCCTCTGCAAGGCAGAGACTTGGCTCATTCATTCATTGCTATGTTCCCAGGGCCTGGAACATAGTAGGTGCTCAGTAAATATTTGCTGAACTAAACAATATTTAGGCGGCACAAAGACAGTCATGTACTCAGACTGACCATCAGGAAAACACAGAGACGCCTGGAGACGGCTATGCGGTCCCTCTCACACCGTCTCCGACATGCGGGCTGATGGTCAGGAATGCTCATAGTTGACAGTGCCTGAGAGGACCGGTGCGGACACCGTTGGCACATGTGCCGTCTCCTGCACACCCAGCTGTCCCAGCTGCCCTCCTAGCTGGCCCTGCAACCACTGCCCACAGATGTAGGCAGATTCACAAGCAGGCCAGGCCTCCTTGGCCCTACAAACGCCCCCTTCACCTGTGGTCGAGGAGACTGGGGGAGGGCAAGGGCAGAAGCGTGTGGCCTTTACCTCCTGTGTGTACCTCACTTTCCCCATCCAGAGGACCAGAGACCAGGAGTGCTCCTTGAAAAGGCAGCGATTCCCACCTGGGGCCTGAAGTGCCCCTGCCGAAGCCCCCAGTGGTTTGAAGGAAGTGCTCCCGGGTGACCACAAGGCTAGATAAGTCAGGGTTAGCAGGTCACAACTTGGGTGACTGGTCGGGGGAGGGCCATGACCCACTTTGTCACCCCACAGGAAAGCACTGCTCTCACCCCAGCTGCCCGTTCCCACATTGCTGCTCATGTTGACCTAGGGAGACGGGAGACGTCCCCCCGGGTAGTCCCATCTGTCCCCCTCGCAGTCCCAATCTGAGCCTGAGTCCCCAGGAGCCCGCACTGTCCTGGGGTGTGCCTGGCGGCCTCCTACCTCGGGTCCTTTTTGCTGACCCTTCCCGTTTCCCAGATGTCTTTCGCAGCGCCCCCTGCCCCTCCACAGGTGGATCCTATCCTCCAGGGAACACCTGGGTCCCTTGCTTCCCGGCTATCGAGGCACAGGCCTCTCCCCGTACTCACCATGGCTGCAGGCAGGTGATGGGCCACGGAATGAGTGGGACCCGAGCTGGGGCCGCTGCCTTCAGGAAGTGACTGTGGCTTCTGCTCCACGGCCAGCACACAGGGTGGGGGCTGCTGGAGGTGGGGCGGGGGAGGGCAGAGGAGGAAGGGAAGGAGGTGGGGAGGCTCCAATCTGTCTCCAGATCCTGCCAGCCACTTCTTTTTTTTTGAGACTGAGTCTCGCTCTGTCGCCCAGGCTGGAGTGCCATGGTGCCATCTCGGCTCACTGCAACCTCTGCCTCCCAGGTTCAGGCAATTCTCTTGTATCAACCTCCTGAGTAGCTGCGATGATAGGCACGCACCACCACTCCTGGCTATGTTTTGTATCTTTAGTAGAGAAGAGGTTTCACTGTGTTGGGCAGGCTGGTCTCAAACTCCTGACCTCAAGGGATCAGTCCGCCTCGGCCTCCCAAAGTGCTGGGATTACAGGCGTGAGCCACTGCGCCTGGCCCCTCCCGGGCACTTCTATTTCCCTTGAATTCCTGGCCTGCCTGCTACTGTCCCAAGCTTGGGGCATTGGTTGCCTGCATGTTCCTAACGTGGTCACTAGTTTCTTTTTTTTTTTTTTTATTTGAGACAGAGTCTCACTCTGTTGCTCAGATTGGAGTGGAGTGCAGTGGTGTAATCTTGGCTCACTGCAACCTCCGCCTCACAGGTTCAAGCAATTCTCCTGCCTCAGTCTCCTGAGTAGCTGGAATTACAAGCAAGCACCACCATGCCTGGCTAATTTTTTGTATTTTTAGTAGAGATGAGGGTTCACCATGTTGGTCAGGCTAGTCTTGAACTCCCAACCTCAGGTGATCTGCCCGCCTTGGCCTCCCAAAGTGCTGGGATGACAGGCATGATCCACTGCACCTGACCAAGTAGTTTGTTACTCTCTGTAGTCCCCGTCATTCCCACCACTTTGGTGTCCCCATCTCTGGACTCCAGGGAGGACTCCATGCCAGGCCCTGGTGACCTCCTGGGCTGGAGAGCCACAGGATGGGGAGATCTCAGCAGGTCAGGGGTACGGACAGCTCTGGGGTTTAGGAGGCTCCTGGGGAGGCCCAGAGGCCCAGGACGTGGGGGCTCATGTGACTGGGTGAGGCCTCTGCTGTCTGCCCCGGTTGGCTCATCTGCCTTCCTCATTTCATTCCTCCCAGGGCTGCCACCCTGTGCAGAAAGCTCAGCTGGATTTGGGGGTTGGTGGGTGAGTGGTGTCAAAGGCCTTGCACCTGGGCCGGGCATGGTGGCTCATGCCTGTAATCCTAACACTTTGGGAGGCTGAGGCAGGAGGATCCCTTCAGCCCAGGAGTTCAAGACCAGCTAGGGCAACATAGCAAGACTCCATCTATACAAAAAACATAAAACATTAGCCAGGGGTGGCCGGGCACGGTGGCTCACGCCTGTAATCCCAGCACTTTGGGAGGCCGAAGTGGGTGGATCATGAAGTTAGGAGATCAGGACTATCCTGGCTAACACGGTGAAACTCCATCTCTACTAAAAATACAAAAAATTAGCTGGGCGTGTTGGCAGATGCCTGTAGTCCCAGCTACTTGGGAGGCTGAGTCAGGAGAATGGCGTGAACCCAGGAGGCAGAGCTTACAGTGAGCAGAGATCGCGCTACTGCACTCCAGCCTGGGCGACAGAGCCAGACTCTGTCTCAAAAAAAAAAAGAAGAAAATATTAGCCAGGTGTGATGGTACGCGCCTGTGGTCTCAGCTGCTTGGGAGGCTGGGGTGGGAGGATTGTTTGAGCCCAGGAAGCAGAGGCTGCAGTGAGCTATAATCACACCGCTGCACTCCAGCCTGGATGACAGAGCAAGACCCACTCTCAATCAATCAATCAATCAAGAGCCACAGTTAAAAAAAAAAAAAAAAAAAAAAGGCTGAGCGAGGTAGCTCATGCCTGTAATATGAGCACTTTGGGAGGTTGAGGCAGGCGGATCACCTGAGGTCGGGAGTTTAAGACCAGTCTGGACAACATAGAGAAACCCTGTCTCTACTAAAAATACAAAAATTAGCTCAGCATGGTGGCACATGCCTATAATCCTGGCTAGTCGGGAGGCTGCGGCAGGAGAATTGCTTGAACCCGGGAGGCAGAGGTTGCAGGGAGCCGAGATGGCGTCACTGCACTCCAGTCTAGGTGACAGAGCGAAACTCCATCTAAAAAAAACCCCAAAAAACAGAACCTCCAAGAAACTCTGACTTAATCAGTCTGAGGTGTGGCCTGAGCAAGTTTTTTTTAAATTTTTTAATTGTTTTTGAGACAAAGTCCTGCTCTGTCACCCAGTCTGCCTCCCGGGTTCAAGTGGCTGGGATTACAGGTGTCCACCAACACGCCTGGCTAATTTTCTGGATTTTTAGTAGAGATGGGGTTTCACCATTGACCAGGCTGGTCTCAAACTCCGGACCTCAAGTGATCTACCCGCCTGGACCTCCCAAAGTGCTGGGATTACAGGCGTGAGTCACCGCGCCTGGCCTGCCCGTTTGTTTTCACACCTCCTTTAAGAGCACAGACATCATGATTCTGCCATCTTGCCATCTCTGTTATGCCTTTGCATCCGGTCCGGGGTCACAGTTGCCAGATGTGGGTTGCCCTCCCAAACGGGAGTCTCGGGAGGACAGTATGGGCCCTCTGTGGGTCTCCAGAACCTGGGTAAGTGAAGGAAAGAATGAAAGAACAGGTGGCCGGGCCCGGTGGCTCATGCCTGTAATCCCAGAACTTCGGGAGGCCAGGCGGGCGGATCACCTGAGGTCAGGAGTTCGAGAGCAGACTGGCCAACATGGTGAAACCCTGTCTCTACTAAAAATACAAAAATTAGCTGGGCGTGTTTGTGCACACCTGTAATCCCAGCTACCTGGGAGGGTGAGGCGGGAGAACTGCTTGCACCCGGGAGGCGGAGGTTGCAGTGAGCTGAGATTGTGCCATTGCACTCCAGCCTGGGTGACAGGGCGGGACTCCGTCTCAAATAAATAATAATAAATAAATATAAATAAATAAATCAAGCAATTCTTGGCCACAGTAGGTGCTCAATCAAGGTAATTAAGGGATTGGATGACAGCTGATGGATTCCCAGGTGCCTGGGTCGGTCACACTGCCCGTGCACTCTCGCAGCTAGGAGGGTCCAGACAGGGCGCGCACACCAAGGCACCACGGGGGCGCCGTGGGGGTGACGCGCAGGTCCCGGCGCGGTCGTCATGGTGCGCCTGCCCACCAACTCCCCTTTGTGTATTTGGCGCCTCCGCAGGGGCTCCCGGCAGGGTTCCGCGCTGCACGGCCGCAGATAGGGGCCGGTAGGGCTCTGAAATCCGGGAGAAGCAAGCCCGGACCAGGGGGAGTGAGAGTTCGTTAGGGCGCGGCTCCGGGACTCTGCGGGGTCGGAAACCGGAACAAGTGTGCGCAGGGGGAGGAGCCCACGGCCGCGGAGCGCTTTCCTCCTCCGTGCTCCCGGCCCGCAGTGAGGGTAACCGGACCGGCACCTGCTGATGACAGCTGGGGCTGGACAAATGCCGGGCGGTGCACGGGCCTCTGGCCGGCCTCAGAGCTGTTCAGCACGAGCCCGCGGCTTCCAGCCAACCTGCCTGCTATCCGCACGGCGCTCCCGGCTTTCATTCCCCCGAGTCTGAGACTCCTGGGCGCCCCCTGCTGGGCGGAGCCGGGGCCCAAGAGAACTGGGTTCCTGTGCATGGGGGTTGGGAGCCGGTTTGAGGGTAGGAGGTCGTTTTTGTAGTGGACAGGGTGAACGGCGGAAGCCAGGTGGTGACCCAGCTCCCCAGGCCTCGGGGCAGTCAGTTCACTCCAGAGGGCAGTGTGATGGCCGTGGGCCCGCTGTACACACAGGAAGGGCTGTACCATCTCCGTGGGTGACGGGGTAAGGGAGAGGTCCCTGGACGGAGGTGTCGGCTCTGGGTCTCTTTGGAAAGATAGTGACAGACTGGGAAGTAGCGTGGGCTAGATCTGGGGGTGGCCGAATGAGGAAACTGATGGGGACGAAGACTCCTGCTGACCTCCGGGACCCTGGAGAGGGGTTAGGGGCCTGGGGGACAGAGAACACAACGCTATCCTTGGAGATGGGGGATAGGCTTGGACTACAGCCAGATCTAGAGACCTCCAGAGTGCGGGAACAGGAGCGTGTCCCCTGGACCTGCTGCCAGGGTTTCCTCATCCCGTGGTAACTGTGCGCAGCTCCCAAGATGGTGCAGAATCAGTGGCCCTGACTTGGAACTGGCGCTGGCTAGAGGCCTCCTAGCCTCACCTTCTCTATGTATCTGTAAAATGGGCCCCTTCACCTGTCCCACCCTCCTCCCCAGGCAGCCATGGGCTCGGGATGTGAAGTTCTCAGCAGACATTTCCCAAGTCCCTCCTCTCCCCGCAGCCTCTCTTTTCATCCTCCCATCCACCCCAAAGGGCTCAGCCATCATCATGACACCCTTTTAAGGACGAGGGAATTGGGAGGCGGGGAGGTCGAGTCTTTTCCAGGGTCCCACAGTGGTGGTTTCAAGGCTTCTGGCTGAGAAGGGGGAGCTTAGGGGGCCTTGGAGCCCCGGGGCCTCCTGATGGCCTGTCCAACCCCATCCTGAGTGACAGCGACCTCAGCTGGGGCCTAGGGGTGCTGGGAGAGTGGACACCCAGCCCAAGCCACGTGAGCTGAGGCTGCAGCCCCATCACATCACAGCCCCATCAAGGACAGGGCAGTCTTCAGGCCCCTGGTGAGGCTGTGGGCAGTGGGGCAGACAGACGGGTCCTAAGGACCTGAGGATCCCCTCCTGCCCCTTGCAGTGGCTGAAGGGCTTCCGGAGCCTAGAGCTGTCCATCTTTGAGGTGACATGGCACTGAGCAGGTGTGGGGCAGGTGGCCCTTGGCTTGTCTACCTGGATGGCTTTGACTCAGAGCCTGAGGTGGACACGGTGGTGCATGAAAAGTCCAAGGAAGATAGGTGTGGTGACTCACGCCTGTAATCCCAGCACGTTGGGAGGCCGAGGCAGGTGGATCAGCTGAGGTCATGAGTTCGAGACCAGCCTGGCCAACATGCTGAAACCCCATCTCTACTGAAAATACAAAAAATTAGCCAGGCATGGTGGATGGCACCTGTAATCTCAGCTACTCGGGAGGGTGAGGCAGGAGAATGG